AGCTTTTCCTTATAGCGCTGTGCTTGTACCGGACCTTTGATTCAGAGCCCTCAGGCTGCGAAGGTGGGAGAAAGTCTGAGCTTATCGTCCCTTCTGTTTTTGATTTTTAAACAAAGCTTCTAGGGAAGGTGACCTTAAGGACTGTCTAATTAACATTCAGGCAGTCCTTATGTCGTAGCAACATACACGCGTATGGTTAATTATAAATAGCAGCCCAAAATGGAGTATGCAAAAGGTACATACCGGCAAACTGTCTATTGTTTGTTGCTTAAGCAATAATACTGCTTTAAAGAAGGGGGCTTGATTCTTGCTAACTTGTTGCCTTTGGGTAAAGGAGTAAAGAATTGGAGCTTGTATTTGGTTAGCAACGATCTGGTTTCTGTTTCCGCTTTAGTACTGTTAAAAGTTAAATTGTTCAGAAAAATCCAATTCTTGTGTTGTTCTTCGCATTTGGCTGTCAGCATTTTCCGAGCTGGGGTGATGGAAGTCAATTCGCTTGTTTCGTTTCCCCTTTCAAGATTATTTGCGCTGCAGTGTTTGCTTTTCGGATGCAGAGCAGGGATGTGCGCTGGTGTGAACACAAATGTGTTCAGTTGTTTTTTCTTGGAAGAAAGACCATGTCCACAGTTTCCTCTCCTCCCCCAGCAATTTCTGGGCAGCTCGAGTTCGCAAGATTTACAGTTTGGCCCAACAGAGACGCTTGAAGGTCCTGATCCTGCGATCCAAGCTGAAACGATGAACTCCAATTGCAGGACAAGTGTGAGTGAAGGAGCAGAGAAAAGTCTATGGGAAGCAGGAGAGATGATCCTAAGTAATATATGCAGAGGGATAAGTGGCTAGGAGCGTGGGCTGGCAGGTGAGAAGGCTGCCCTGTGGTTGAGGCTCTGGACTGCGATTCAGCACATGCTTCTGTAGGCCACAGATTTCCTGTGTGACCTCTGGGCAACTCTTTGACCTCATTGTCTACAGTGGAGATAATAACACTTGGATTTGTCATCGTCTCAAGGAGCCTCCCAAAGGCTTCTAGGTGCCCAACTCCCCTCGCCTTGGATCTCTGCAGGCCGTGTACCTTGTCATCCGAGGTGCAGAGTTTAACGCACGTTTCTGTTGCCGAGGTTGCCCCTGGATGGCCGTGCCTGCAGCGGGAGGGCGATCGCTCCTGCGGCCGTCTCTCGGCTAGAGTGGTCTTTGCACCATGAAGAGCTTCAGGCCTTTGGTGGAGATGCAGACCAGGCTCCCAGGGTGAGGACTGGCCCCGTGTGCGAGTCGAGAGTGATCCTGCACACTGCCCCGGCCTCCCCGGTTCCCCTCCTGCAGGTGGGAGCTGGTGTGTCGCAAAAAGCGAGACCCTTCTGCCCAGCAACAGAGTTGCCAAGCCGGGCCCCAGCAGGGAACGGACGGCGCTTCAGGACCTCGGTTGAGGCCCAGGGACTTCTTGGCTGCTGCTCGGGCGACAGGAAGGGAGGAAAAGCTCTGGGCGGAGGAGGGGGGACTTGCGCCTGTCTGCCGTGATGGTGGAGGAAGTTCTGGCGCCCTGCTCGCACTTTCCTGAGCTGGGACAGATCCAGCTGGCTGAGGAGGGGCCTTTTTCCCTGTCTGCTTCTCTGCTCCCTGTAAGGCACTGCTGGGGCTTAGCAGTGGCTGCACAGCCTCTTTCATAGTGCAGTCCTCTAACATGTGAAGGGCCTTTCAAGGCCTCTTCTAGATGCTCAGAAATCTGCTGATGCTTTCACCTCTCCTGATAAATCATTTTAACACGTGCCAAAGTGATGTGAATTCAAAACCAGTCATTCTTGTGTCAGCCTTAACAGGTGATAAAGTACAAAAGAATGAGTATAGTGGATACATTTATTAATGTAGTGCATTCAGTAGTGCGAGGAGTCTATGGAATATTGTTATTAGTAGTAATATTTTACTTTCCTCAAGGAGAATGAAAGTCTTCCTTCACCCATCACTGGGAAGATCTTAGATCCTTTTGCTGCGTTGCCTATGCTTTTTCTGATATGTCCCAGAAGTCTCAGAAGGCGATGCCTGATTTTACGCTCAAGTAAAATCTGCTGGGTTTTCTTGCGTGTGTGTTTTGTAAAGGAGCCTAGCTTATCCCGTTGGCCCCAGCCTGGGTCAGAAGAACCTGAGGCCTGTTGATTCTGGCACCGCAAGACCGCAAGGGTGCGCTTTGTCTGGCCGAGGCACGAGAGAGGGACACGGCTCTGCCACGATCTGAGCCTGGAGAGCCTCCCCGGCTGTGAGCCCGGTGGGAAGGTCTTGGCCCAGCTGTATGCCCTCGGAGGTGGTTTAATGTGGTCTCCTGCGTGACAGAAGACTCTGTCTCTGAATATATTTCTAAAGAGAACGGAAGTTTTGAGTTTTCTGGATGTGATGGACAGACTGGTTACAGCAAGCTTGTTGGTTTGGCCCCTCTTTAGAGGGTGAAGGCTGTTCCCATCCTGCCCTGTCCGCTGCGTTCACAACAGGTTTTTATGACGGAAGTAAAACACTGTGTGGCACCTTCCTCCTGTAGCTCACCCAAGCATCCCGCAGACAGCAATTCCTGGTTGCAACAGCCTGGGAGACTGGTAAATAAACATAACTACTCCCTACAGGTAAGGCCACTGAGGTAGCAGTAAGCATCGCAGACATGCCTATGAATGATTACTTACTTCCTTTGTGTGCTTCTCAGGGTAAACGATTTCCATAGGAGCCAAAACACCCGTATGGTGCTGTCAGTCTCCTATTGTACTGTCAGTCTCTTTGTACCTACTGCTCAAGTTCTTTTGTCATTAACGCTAATGGTGTTTGCACTCTGTCTTGTGTAAACGTACAGATTGGGGGATGTGTCTGCCTTGGAAACGCATGCAGAGCAAGTAAACACAAAGCTCACTGTTCTGCAGGTGCCACCTGGCTGTAAACCTTGGGCAAATAGATGACGTGAGTAGTTTGCAGGCTTGACAATCTCTGAGCCAGAAAGGGCTACCTCAGGATAATGAAAAGTGCTAAGTTGCAGGTGCTGCATGCTTATTCCTTGCAACTCGCTGGCCAGTCCCTGCCTTCACTGCTGCTCCTCCGGGGCTTTGGGGATTAATGCAAGGTGAAGATGACCTTAGTTCGCCACCTAAAAACAGGAGAAGGCACAAGCCGCTGCTGAGACAAATGCTGAACGGGTTTGTGAAGGAAAATTGCTCTTCTGAGAAAGCGCTGTGTGCTATATCACACTTTCTACAAGTTTCCAGGCCTCGGCTATTTTCCCCATTCCTGACAAGGGCAGACTGCTTCATGTGTGCACTTCTGGTGGTGCCCGCTGGTGTAACCGGAAGGCACGCTGCTTTCTGGACAGCGCACACCTCTTCAAAAGCGCAAAGTTGTAAGGTTCAATACGGTGCCAAGTGGTGGAAAACAATGGAGCTTGCGCTTCCAACTGGTGGGTCAAAAAGGGAGAGAAGGGACAAGAGAGGTGAAGCACAAGGTGAACGCAAGAGCCTTTTCTGTACTGTCTGGAAAGCGGTATAGCCTCAGCGTATGCTTTGTGTTTGTTGTGGGAAGAGCAATGACAGGGTAGCAAAGGAAAGGAAATCCACAACTGTGCTGGCCTTCCGGGTGTACTCTTTAATGCATAAACTATGGCAGAAAGCGGAAGTATAACAAGGAATAACTGCTGTGTGAAGTCTTTTCTGCAAGTGCCAGACTTACTCTGTCTTTCCGGCCCTTCGAAGCTATCTCTAATTCCCCACCACCTATCTGCCTCTTTCTTCACCAGGCTTGGCCTGCCTATTGTGCCTGCTTTAGCACTCGTAACACTTGAGTTGTTTCCTGGGGAATGTGACAAACCTTTCACGCAGGCATCCTGCCCCCTTTCTCTGTAGCGCGTTCTTGGCTTTGCTTGCTCCTCCAGATTAGAAACGCACAAAGGCACTGGAGCTTTTGGAACTTAGGAGCAAACCAAATTTGTCCGCATCTATGAATACACTGTTGACATTGCTGTACCTTGTGCAAGAGAAACGGCTGTGCTTGTTGTCCCTGGTTCAGGCAGAGGTCATTGGACTGGGGTGGTTAAAGCGGGTGACGGCCCTGGGTTGCGCGTCTGCAAGGTGCCTCGGACTTTCTGAGCCTTTGCCGCAAAAGCGGCCTGCATTTGTTTGTTACTCGCGGAGCAAGGAAATGGCTTTGGAGGCGCTTTCCTCGCAGCACAGCTTAAGCAGGGATGGCATTGTTGTCTTTTATTTAATGTGGAGATAAATGGCACTTCTCACACTCCAGTAATTCACCTCTTTGGTGTTTGGCTGGGACTTTGGAGGAAGTGTCGTAGCAGTGCAGAACTAGCTGTTCTCACGAGTCTTTGGTACTAAAGGCTTGGCTAGTCATTCAAGGGGAAAATATGCCCTTTGGGTGTTGGACTGTGGTCTTAGAGCTGTTCCGAGACACTGTTAGAGACTTCCAGCGCTGCTTAGGAGCGGCCTGGCTTAAGTGGCCCCAGCCTTGACTATTTCAGCTCTTGAAGAGGTGTAAAGGCCTCTGTCCAGGATCACAGGCAGACTACTGTGCCCGTACTGGAAGGATTTGCTGGGGTCCGGTTGCTGCCTGCCTTGCACAGCTACTGAAATCATTAGGAGCCGTCAGGGCTGCGTATGGTTGCAGTGGGCGCTCCCAAGCAGAAGAGGGCCCCGGGACAAACGCACCGTGTCTGCAAAATGCTGTGCTCCTCAGCTTGCTGTCGATCTCCTAACAAAGCCCTGACCGCCCCTGTCCTGTTTCACTGCCCATGGACCGAGGCATTTCTTTCTGAATTTCTGCCTCACCTGGCTCCTGCCTTTGCCTCATTTACCTGTTGGAGGCCCAGGCCAAAGGCCACAGCTACCCAAGCCCTGGTCGTTACCCCAGTGGGACCGCAGGGGAGTCTGCGCGGGCCGCTGTAGGTGCATGGGCCCGAGCACGACGCTGACGAAGCCCGGAAAACTCTCCTATGCTTCTTAAGGTGATTAATTATCTTTATTTGTATTTTATAGCATCGAGGACTCTGGTTTTGAAGCAGGATACACCGGATTTGCACAACACCAAATGCAAGGAAGGCAGACCCAGCCCAGAAGAGTTTACAGTCGACGGCTCTGGCTTTAACACAGCAGCGCAACAGTGGTTCCTAAATGGCCTGTAAGGACTCATGTATAATTGAGTGCATAGGTTGTGTGACAGCAGGAAGCAGTATACAAAGTGCATTTTTTGGGAGGGCAGTGGGGTGCAGAGGGGTGGTGCTAGCCTAGGGATCCGCGGGGGCTGGGGCACTGTTTCTGGGTAGGCTTTGCTATCTGTGGCATGGTATTCTGACCAGGGTGCTCAGGAAAGGCTGTGGATATATAAATATATACGTACACAGACACACGTGTGTGTGTATATGATGAATTAATTTTCTACGACCCAAAACCTTTTTTCCAATTTTGAAATAAGAGGAGTTTTTTGGTTGTAAGCATTCTCCTTCGAGCTGAAAATCAAAAATCAGTTGAACTAAGCAAAGAGGATGTGTCTTATAATCGAGCTTCAAAGGAGAATTTTGTTACCTATTCAAGGTCATTCCCACCAGTTTGCAGTCCTGCCAGAAGCCTGGGAATGTTCTCCCCAAGTAAGCTTGGACGGGTCTAAGAGGGACAGTGTGGGGAAGTGGATGCTAATACTGCCTTTTCTGAGGCAGTTATTTTTGAAGATTAGAAGGTTTTATTCCTTTGATGCGCTTCACCCATCTCCATTACATTTGTGTTGGCCGGAGCGTTTCCTTAGCACGCTGGATGCGTTTGCCGGGTGTGAAATCGGACATGAAACATGTAAGGGTGTTTCTCTGGGTGCAAGCATCATTGCAGGATTACTGAAGCATCTCTCGCTTCCTCTGTATGCAATCTGGAGATGCCTTTACCTTTTCCCATAACTCTCTTGAAAATAAATAAATAAATAAATAAATATGGCATTTGGGCACTGCATAGCCTGGTGGGTGTAGGCGCATCCCTGGAGCAAGCAGAAGGTCATACCTTGCCAGTGGGTGGGGGATGGCTTCTTTTCCCCTTCTCCCACTATTTTGTTATTTGTTTTCAAGTCTCTGATATCCCTCATTCCTCTCATTGTGCGCTCAGGCCAGAAACCTTGAGATAAACTTGAAAACACTCTGCTTTATTATGTTGGCATTTGTGGCTTGTGGGTGGCAGATGACGTAATGTGCTTGTTTGTATCCTTTCAGTTATAATGACTGGGTATCAAGTGACAGTGGCTATTTTTATTTTTAAAAGCAAACCATAGCTGTGGCAGGTGCCCCTTGCTCCCCCAAAAGATCAGTTGTGTTTGTTCCTCTTTGATTGCTGCTGATTAGCATCAATTCCTTATGGCTTGCTTTCTGTTTTGAGCAGTTTCCTTCTTCTCCTAGCGCTGTTGGCTCCGCATCTGCAGTCCCTGAAATGACTCAGTGGCCCAGTGCTGTGAAATGCAGGAACATGGCTCTGGTTTATCACACAGCTCGTGTATGGGCTCTTGAAATGCATCAGTATGTTCCAGTCTTAAAAAAGATGCACAACTCCGTTAACGTGATAATTTTGTTCCTCCTTACATTCATATCCTCTGGCGAAATCAACTTCAGGAAGAGCCTGTAACTTTGCTTGGCGGATGAAATTAAGATGCTTCTGTTAAATGAAGCCCTAGCAAGCAGCGGTATATGATGTTTGGTGAGCTGCCTGCTGCAACTGAAGCACGTGCGTTCGAGGCAGAGGAGCTTAATTGGTTGGGGGGGTGTACTCGGGCAATGGCAATAAAGCAAAGCAAACAGCAGATCATCTGAGTAGATTTAGAAATAAAAATGAGAACAGAAATGACGGAGTAGGTCTACACTGAGAGAAATTGTCTTCACAAGAAATATCCTGTGGCAGGATGTAGGTGAATGTGAAGCCATTTGCAGTCCTGTGCCCCGTCCCATGATGGCTGGCTGCAGGAGCACACCTTGGTGGGATTTTTGCAGTGTTGGTGTGAGACTGGAAAACCATGGCGTGTGGAAAAAACCTCTGGCTGAGGTCAGCTGCGGAGCTGAAAACACGTTCGTATTAGCCTCTGTGAAGCCATTGCACTGCAAGAGCTTTCTGTTGCCAAGGCCTTCCCATGAAAGGCTTAAAAATGGAAGACAGATGGGTGTGTACAGTTACCAACTGCCTCCTGGACGCGATATGTTTATTTGGGAAAACATGGGACTGTGGAGATAGCTGTTGTTGCCAGCTGGAGTTGACTGCTCTGATTTGGCATCGGTCGGTCATGGCAGCAACGCATAACAGAGCTGTTCAGGGGAAGGTTGGCGTTGTCACTTCCCTGTGGAACATTTGACCGACAAAGGAACTGTTTCTACGTTTCCTGTGGAGAACTCGGGTTGTTTTTCCTATTGCTCTTGGCCTTGTCTTTTGGCTCCGTTGCTGCGGTGCTGCAGAGGGGCTGTCATTCGGGTTATTTGTTCTCTCGTTGCTGCTGAAGGTGCTGGCCTTAGGGTATGCTGGGGTCTCCCGGCACGAAGCCAAGAACACCGGGGCTGTCCGTGGAGGGGACAGGTCGGCCTGAAGGCAACTACGGGAATGAGCTCGGTTGAACAGCAGTGCAGAGAGAAGCGAGGTTGGCACACGCTGAGGTTTTCCCTTTGGAAGGAAGGGAGGCTACAGATAATTTTTCTCTTGGCACCTGAATAACACAGCAGGGAGCAAATGAGAAATGCCCAAGCGCTGAGTCCTGCTTTTACACCATCCTCTGCCCTCATGAGGATGTTCAAACATCTTCAAGCACTTGTGGATTTGAACCCCATCTCTGTTAGCAGTTCAGCAGCTCCTTTGGGATATGCTTTGCTTTGCCTCGTGCGTCCTCATTCTTCGGGACTATTCCTGGCCAGGACTGAAGCAAACAGGCGTCCCTGGTTGGGGAAGCGCGAAGGAGAGAGGGCTCAGTGTGGGCTTCTGTTGTGCAAAGGCTCTCATTTTTCACATTTGAGGGACACCTCAGTTCCCAGCAAGGCTTTTGGGGTCAGAGCAGCTGAGTAATGCTGATGGGGCAGCACATCTGGCCTGGGTAACCCTTCCACACCCCGCCTGGGTCTGTGCCCACCTCCAGCGCCTTCTTGCACGTATTTTCCAAAAGGTTCAGCCCTTGCTGTACTGAGCTCTGTGGGACACCTGGGCCCACGCGGGTGCCTGTTGTGCTGTCTCAGAAGTGCTGCTGTTCCTCTCTGGTGCAAATCTAAATGGCCATGATGGGGGGAGTCCGCGGATATGTTTTCTGCGGTGTTTCTTTTTCCCAACTGCAAGTGTCGTACAGAGGGAGCCTGCATTCTGCACTGATTGTTCATTCAATGTGTAACGATTTTAGACATCATTTTCTGTTAGCGGTCGGGGGAAGGAGGACTCTGGCATGGTGGAAGTTAAAGCCAGGGCTGTTTTCCAAGGGAGCGCATCCACAGAGGTGTTTCCCTGACCGGTGAGGCTGGGTACCAGTCCTGACCCCCCCCCACCCTCCACTGCCAGCGTTCCCAGCAGAGTAATGGTTAACTGGACAGTCTTTTCCCATTTTCCCACATCATCCTGGCATGGACTCCCCATCCCCGCTTGCTCTGCCTCACTGCTCTGCCCTGGCCTGTCACAGGACAGGGGACCGACCTGCTCCCCTGCAGCGGGGCAGGGATCGAGGAAGCCAGCGGGCACCTACGGCTGGGGGGGGGGGGGGGGGCGCGCACAGCGCG